GCTCTCAACTCTACATGTTGTAGTGTTCCCGAAATGAAATACCTGGTTTGTCCAATATTTGACAAACTTTTCCCGTGAGGGAACCATTGCTGCATCACATAGTCCACCAGTGCCGGACACCACTGGTACGAATCCCTGAAGTTAGCCAATGCTCGCTCATACGCTTCCTCTGTGGTAGCCTGTAGGATCTTCCGCCACTTACCATTCACCAATCTCTCTGCCATTTCCAAATTCTTGTTGAAAAGGTTGTAGGCTTTCACTTTCACGCAGTTGTTGATGTGCCATGTGCACAATAAGTGGTTCGATTCTGGAAACAGCTCTGCTATGGGGGCAAAGAGACCTCCCTCACAGTCGCTGACGATGGCTGCTGGATGAACATTAGGCCCGATGTAGTTTCTCAGCTTCTCCAACACCCAATAATAACTTGGAGCCGTCTCATCCTTGATGATTGCATGACCAATCAGAAAGTTCTAGTTCGTTGGAGTCATCCCCATGATCTCAACCAGTGGGAACTTGTACTTGTTTGTCTTGTACGTTGAGTCGATCAAAATCACAAATGGCCAAGACTTGATCATATCAGCACAATCAGGATGCACAAGGAAAAGATGAGTCACCTCCGCTGTATCTTCATCAGAATCAAACCAAAACAGGTAACCACGTGATTGTGCCTGGTGTAGCAGCTGCTGTATAGGGTTCCTTCCCTCTGACCGTTCAAACCTGAGTTGCTGTCTGACGTTGTAGATGTGTCTTCGGTTTGGATGGTCATCTGGAAATTTCTCTAACACAGATGCTAATATTTTAGCAGGCTTGACTTGAGCATCACTCATTTCTTTCACAACTAGTTTCGCAGCAGGACTTAAGCCGCTCAGCTGTCGATGACCCTCTTCATATACTATCATCTCATGGTTGTGATACCGCCATTTAGAGTAACCAATCACTTCCCAACCGTCACGACTCCGTAGTTGTCGAACCTTTACTCTGAAATCACACCCACAACCTTTCCGCTTCGTATCAAACCGAGTGGCTGTACGAAAATCTCTTTCTTCTCTTTTGCGATAACGGTCACATCTCAAAATGCGATCCATTCTACCATCCCGTTGAGATTTATGAGTTACTACTACCAAGCAAAATCCAGCTGCAATTGCAACCTGTTTTGCCCAATCAATCGCCTGTTGAGCTTCTTCGAATGGACCATCATGTCCAAATATCCCACTGTAATCATTTCCGCCTCCACCATAATCCTGCATCACTTATATATTACAATAAATACATTTAACGGATAATACATTTAATTTCTATATTTACACAGAATTAACACAAAAAAAGCATAATTATGTATAATCAAACTTAGTTTTTATAAAAACCCAATTCGAATTTTCAAACTAAATTTAAAAATATACCATTTCGTGAATTTTCAAACTTCATTTTAAAAAAACCTATTTCGAATTTTCAAAATTAATTTAAAAAAAACCCATTTCGAATTTTTTTAAAAAATCATTTTCGATTTTAAAAAAAAAAAATAAATAAATAAAAAACAACAACAAAATCAAAAAAGAAAAAAATAATAATAATAGGGTGGCGTCTGCCAGGGCTGCCACAGCTACTGGACTGGCGCCTGGCAGGGCCGCCTCAGCCAGTAGAGTGGCGCCTGGCCAGGACGCCAGTCTGGTGGTCTGGGCGTCTGGGCTGGACGCCACTCTGGTGGTTCTGGCGTCTGGCTTGGACGTCCAGGCTACGGTTTGGGCGTCCATCCTAGGCGCCGGAGCCACTCCGACGGTAAACCGTGAATTTTAACGGTGACTTACCTCGTTTTCCGTCGTCGACGACGTACCTCCGGCGTCCCCCGCATCTCCGGCCTGCCCTCCGGTCTCCCCCGGCGAGCCAGTACGACTCCACATTTTTTAAACCGAGATTATTTCAATTTTAGAAAATGGGCATAATGGTCACACCAAGTCATATTTGTGGGTTTTATATGGTAATTTGCGGGCGATGTTTAGCGATTCACTTATTTTTGGCCGAAAAATTTTGGTCAACGCCGGAATTTGGTCAAAGGACCCTCCTCGCAACCCAATGTTCATATAAGGACCTTTCGTGTCACCTTTTTCCACTACTAGAAAACAGCCAAATTACGACTGAAATTTTCCGTCGGAAAACCAGTTTCCAATGGAAATCCGTCGTAACTGGTTGTCGCGATATACTTTGTCGGAAAAACGCACTTTTCCGACGAAAATTCCGTCGGAAAAGAGTTTTCCGACAGAAACCAGTCCGTCTGAAGAGGTTTTCGGGCCTAGGAAAGTCCGTCGGAAATTTCCGACGGACATTATTTCGCCGGAAAATCCCGACGGAAATTCCGTCGGAAAATTTAATTAAAAAAACAAAAAAAAAAACTGCACCCACCCAAAACCACCAGCCCCTACCCCAGAACCACCAGAACCTCCAGATCATTCTTATCCCACCACCACCGACACTACTACACCATTATTGAACCCCAATAAATGAAAATAAATCCCGAAAACACCAAAAAAAACGAAAATTAAACACCAAAAATCGAAAATTAAACCCAACGAAACAAAAATCAACCCCAACGAAATGAAAATCCACCCCCAGATATTCGAAAATTAACACCACAACCAAAATTAGCCCAAAAATCTTAAATTAACAACGAAATCGAAAAAATCCACACAATTATCTAATAAAATTCATAAATTAACATAACAATTACAAAAATATACAATTAGCCAATAAAATTCATAAATTAACATAACAATAACAAAGAAATTAACTAGATCTACAATCTAACCTAAATTTAAACTAGATCTACAAAACAAAAACCTTGAAAACAGTCGGCTTTGTTATAATATTGTTGCGTCGTTGTTGTTGCTGTTGCGTTGTAGCGTTGTTGTTGCTGTTGCGTTGTAGCGTTGTTGATGTTGTTGCGGTCGATGTTGGTGGTGGTTGATGGAGAAGATGGAGGATTGGTGGTTGAGGGAGAAGATGGAGGATTGGTGGTTGAGGGAGGATTGTTGTAGCTGTTGCGTTGATGCGGCCGTGTTGGTGGTGGTTAGAAGATGGAGGATTGGAGAAGAGTAGAGGGAGTAGAGACGGAGAGGAGGGGCAGAGGGAAAAGAGGAGAGAGAAGTGGAGAGAGAAGAGGAGAGAGAAAGAGAATGTGAAGGGGAAAGTGTAAAGAGGCGGAAGAAGGGAATTAGGGAAAGTGAAGGGGGGGGGGGGTTAGTTGTTTAGGGTAGGTTCTGAATTTTTTTTTTAAAAAATTAGTTTACGACGGAATTTTCCGTCGGAAAATTCCGACGGATATAAATTCCGTCAGAAAATTAAATTTCCGACGGAAAAATCCGTCGGAAAGAACATATTTTCCGACGGATTAATTTTCCGTCGGAAATTTCCGACGGATTTCCGACGGAATTTTCGAATTCGTTGGAAATATTCGACGGAAATAAAAACCGTCGGAAATATTGATTTTTCCGACGGATTTTTAGGTCCGTCGGAACCATTCCGTCGGTATTCGACCTGATTCTTGTAGTGTTCATAAAAGAACTTTCCACACAAGGTCGACCTCATAAAAGGACCTTCCTCGCAAATTTTCCAAAAAAAAAACAAAAAATTAAAAAAAAACCCCAAAATTTTCCCAGCCACCCCGACCATCGCCAAATCCTAACCCCTCATCTCGCCGGAAAACGGTCGGTCACCACCAACAATCGGTCGGCCGACCCTGTAGCTCCCCACCTGACCCACCGCCGACCCCCAAAACCACTCACGCTGCTCCTCCCAACCCCAAAAACCACCCACACATCCGCCCCGACCCCAAAACCACCTGTAAAAAGCCCCTCCTCCCTTTCCCCACCCTCAAAATCGGTCGTTTCGACGGTGGGAGAAGGGAGGAGGAGCTTTTTACTGGTGGTTATTAGGGTCGGGGCGGCTGTGTGGGTGGTTTTTGGGGTGGGTGTTTGCGGTTTTATGGGGTCGGGGCAGTTTGTGAGGGTGGTTTTGGGGGTCGGCGGTGGGTCAGGTGGGGAGTTACAGGGTCGGCCGGTCGATTGTTGGTGGTTCCGGTGGTGACCGACCGTTTTTCGGTGAGATGAGGGGAGGGGCTAGGGTTTGGCGGTGGTGGGGGTGGTTGGGAAAATTTTGGGGTTTTTTTTTATTTTGTTTTTTTTTTGTATTTTTTTAACTTTTTTTGTATTTTTTTAAATTTTTATGAATTAAGATAAATAGTCCAATTATATCATGACACGTGTCATGATTAACCCTTAATTACTAACGGAGTTAACGATCGTTGGACATTAATGGGACCGGGTGAATTTTTTAAAAACTGGGTGACATTTGGTGAATTCCGAAAAGTCCGATGGTATTTGGTGAATTTTTAAATTGCTCAGTGGCATTTGGTGAAATAGCCGTAAAATTAATGTTTGGCCTTGAAATAAAAATAAGTGTGAGCTAGGAAAGTACAAATTCTTTTATGGACCCTAGTCCATCTAAAATACCTAGATCTCTATTAAAACACAACCTTATATAATGAAACACAACTTCATTCTCTTCTTCTTCTTCCCACCATCTTTACAAAATTTTGTTTCCTAGACCTCTATTAAAACACAACCTTATATAATGAAACACAACTTCATTCTCTTCTTCTTCTTTCCATCATCTTTACAAAATTTTGTTTCCTTTTTTATATAAAAACTCTCTCTTTTAATCTAATCTCTTTTTATTTCTTTATTGAATTTGCTTCATTTTTTTTCAAATTCTTATTTTCTCTCTCCTCCGTTTTTTTTCCATTAAATTTCTGCATTTAACGTGATGGAACAATTTTACATTCCCAAAGATATCAATCCAGGTTTGTTATTATGACTCATTATGATCATTATTAATTTATTTTTTGATTTTGAGATGAATTTGTGGATAAAATAATTGTTTTAATATCGATTGAATTTGTGAAAGCTAATTTGATTAATTTCAATTCGTAATCGATTACCTGATTGTTTTTATTGTTCTCTTCTTCTCCAATTTCCAGCACTCAAAGAAAACACATAGAAATGAACAAAATCATCATGACGTGACGAGAAGGCACCGAAAATTATATAATCATCTGTTGATGATTCATAGCAAAACACACACCCGGACCGATCAGCCCGACCTACACCACCAGGTTTCTTGATTTTTCGAAGGCGGCGAGTCGCCGGGTTACACACATAGAAGACCTCGCGAGAGCGGTGTTCGTTTCCGAGTAAGCAAACAAGGCCATTACAAGAACCCACAATGTAGTTAACTTCAATTGGGAGATCATAACCATTAGCAAATTCCAATTCAATGAAATTTCTTACATTGCAATTCATATGATCATACTGTAGCAAGTAGATTTCATCATCTGATGCACGATGAAGCGTAGCATGGACGAGGAAGTGAGGGCGAAATGAGGAGATTTTGAGATGGGTTTTAGTGAATTTAGGGGATATGATTGTGGAAAGCCAAGATTTGGAAACAGATTTGAAGCGAATTAAGGATTTTACTGGGAGTCTTGGAAGGATTTCTTGTAATATTAGATGTTTAGGAAGAGTTTTTTCAATAGTGCTCATTTTCTCTCTCTTATGATGAAAATGGAAATCTTATGATGAAAATGGAAATTGGGAGTAACTGATGATTTCAAGTGGCGGCCGGAGAGGCGGGAGACGGTGGTACGGCATGTGGGTGAAAAAAGTATAGAGTTTAACCATCAGACCGAAAGTGGAGGTGAACCACTTTTGACCAAACTCGATTAAAACTCAAATCAAAGCCCAAATTAATATTACCCTTTATTCAAAATGACCCAAACTGAAATTAACTCAAATTAATTGTCCTGAACTTATTTCAACCCAAACTAATTGACCCAAACTTAACACTCCATTTTATTTATTTACTAGATTAGTGTCCGTGCATCGCACGATAGTAATAATTATTTTTATAATTAATTTGTGATATAATATAAAAAAATAAGGCGATTTATATGAAATTTACAAATGCAATGTGTATACAAAAATATGAAATAATAAGGCCAAAATTACTACAGTAAAATTAAATTGAAAAAGTATTGTTGATTATTTGTGTTAAAAAATATTTGATAGTAATATACATTATATTACATTAACGACGTATATTTTTCCCAAAAATAACTACTACCTCCGGTCCAAATTACTCGCAATTTCAGGGTATTATTTGTGAGATGTAAAATATTCCAAAGTTGAGAGTAATTTGGACCGGAGGTTGTATACAACATGCTTTTTATAAATACGGTAAGTAGAATAACGAAAACCAAAAAAAAAAAAAATGATAGTTTGACATGTGTTAAAAATGATGTCAAGCATATTATGTTTTAATATTAATTAATAGATTTACCTTTTTTTTTTTGTAATATATTAAGTTTATAAATTACTTATTTTGAATATTCCTTTACACAATTACATGTATCAAATGATTCAAATCTAATGTGCCAAATGCTTTAATTTTAAAAGGTTCACCCTTTTTTTTTTTTTGGAAAAGTTTACCCATTTTTAACTCGATCCAAAATGATCCTATCACAAATTGACCCGAAATCTCAATCCAATCATCATGGCCAAAACAAAACCCAACCCAACCTGGTCCTGTTGCTGTTTTTGTACTGTGTGCGCTGTTTGTGTATGCTGCTGCAGTGTTGTGTTGGTTTTGTTGCTGTTGCAGTTGTTTGCGGTTGCTGTTATGGTTTCTGCTAGAGCTGCTGTTTTGGTTTTGGTTGCTGCTGTTTTGGCAGGTGGTGCAGTTTATTTGCTGCTGCTGGTTTGATTTTTTGGCTAGAGTGGCAGCTGGTTTTGCTCTTCTGTTGGTTCTGCTCTTGTTGCTGTTTGCTGGCTCTGGGTGGCAGCTGGTTTGGTGCTTGCTAGGTGCTGCTGTTCTGGGTTTGGCAGAGGTTTCAAGCTTGTAGTTTGCTTGTAGATGCCTTGTCTCTAATAGAAAACCTTTGTATGTTTAGGCTTTTGTTGTTTTGGTGGTTTTTGGGTTGTTTGCCTTGTAGTTTGCTGCTAGTGTTGTTGTCTGATCCTTGTTTCCAGAACCCTTCCTAGAAGGTGGCTGGAAATCTGAGTCCAGTTTGTTCTAGGCCCTTCCTAGAACCCTTCCTAGAAGGTGGTTAGGATAGGATCTAGAACTGATTTTTGGGGGTTGGCCTGTTATACAGGTCTTGTGGTATTCTGGTGGTAGTTATAACTTAGCTCTTGTAAGTTGTAACTTTCTCTCTTTGGTAATAAAATCTTATTTTCCAAAAAAAAAAAAACCCAACCCAACCCATGCCGACTTAGTGTACCATATTTGACCCAAAAATCCAACCCGAAGGGCAATAGTTGCAAGTTGCTACAATATTTTTATCTCTCATTTGTGGTAAAAGGGGCATCGGGTAGCTATGTTACTAGGACTCCGGTACCCATGTTCAACATGTGTACATGTCCAAGCGTCCGACTAGGCTATTTTGTGAAAGTTTCATGATTTTAAACTAAAAATACAGTATCTAGGTGTCATACCCATATCCGAATTTCGAGAGTCTGACACGAGTACGTGAGGTAAAATGAAGAGTCCGAGTAACATAATCGGACAATGAAGCACACATCCCTTGAATAGGATATTTTCACTGGGTAGTCAATATACATTCACGCCTTTAAAATACCAACGCATTAAAGACAAAAGATCATAGAAAATTATAACATAGCACAAAAAGAGAGAATTCTCCACAATAGTCCTAACAATTTAACATAGCACAAAAAGAAATGAAATTCAGACCGTATGCAGATGAACAAGAAGCATAATTTTATACAAACACACATGGATAATATATCACAGATACTTGTTTGCAAGGAAAAAACACACAAAAGGAACACAAGGCTAATATATTAAAGATACTAGTTTGCAAGAAATTAACACCCAACAGGGCAACTTCATTAGAACTTAGAATCTAGTACGACTCCTAATATTAGCCAAGCTAATTATTCTTATAATGGCTACATAAAACACACAAGCTGAAATACTCTACTCTGCCCATTCTCTTCATTTTCATTGTCAAACACAGAGAAACCAAGCCAGACAGGTGGTTTTGCATGACCGGCGATCTTCTCAATTCCTCATAGCTGCAAGGCACAAAGAAATCAAGTCAAACAAGCTGTTTAGCATGAATGGCGATCTCTTCAATTCCTCATAGCTGCTACAATGTAAGCTAAGTTTGACTGATTTTGCAAATCTATTTATGCATGCAACTATGCAAGTTTTCACAAAAACAAAATTTGAGTTTCTATATTGCTGCTTATAAGTGATGTGTATAGCGATTATAGCCCCTGTATCATAGAATAAAATTGACTGGTTCTTTAATCTTAAGCAGGAAAAAAAAAAACAGAAGCTTTCTTTCCCCAAAAGAAGATAGCCTGCATGGCTACATGTATCACACACAATGAGATCTGAATAGTTCTCTAATCTTAAACAAGGGAAAATTTAAAGGTCTCATCCCCCTATAAGGTTTTGGTAAATGAAGTAATTTTGAACAAGTCAAGAGTCACCCCCTCCCTTGTCACATAGCTAAAGAATCAAGAGTTAAGATACATCAAGATTGATCTATATTCATTACCAAAGCACCCATATAACTTTTGTTCCATATCACCTAAAAATTTCCTAGAAGACTGAGCTAATTGGTTTAGCTTACAGACTAAGAGAAGCAACTAAAATTTTGCAAAAAAAGTTAGCACATGAAAACATCTCTATGGAGATAGAATTAACTTAACTATATAACAAGCTTTGTGTGTTACCTACCTTGACATAGAGCATAAGTTAAATTCACCTTACCAAATCTTTAAACAACAAAACTTGAATATAAAACTACTGCTCAATAAACACAAGGCTAGCTCCTACATCTATATTGTATGTTAGAATAAAGACTAGAATTGGAGGTTGACAAGATTTTTCAGAATTAGAAGTAAAAAAGAAGGGCACTTGAATGTACATGTTCATATAAATGAGCTGATGGAAGATTGAACCAACAATCAAGCAAAGGAAAGTCATACATAAGCAACTAAGCACACTATAAAAGGCCAATAGAAATAGCAACAAGAGTAATACCTTCAATTATCTTGGCTTTAGAAAGGCGAAATTAAGCTTTCAATATAACTTTTTGATTGAAAAATGCTGTCACCATTATCGAAAGCAATACCCCCTTGAGTGAGTTGAGTCATCTCTGGAGTCTCCCGAATCGGATCGAATACCCTAATTTTTCCCTCAGTGTGTAGCAAACACTTGCCATTCTCAGAGAAACCATAGTACTCCACATTACTATGATTGACAGAAAACAATATCTCCAAAGAAGTAACATCACTGGGATCCTTCAACATCCAAACATCATCTACTTCAAAATTAACAGTACTACAAAGCAACAACAAGCACCCTCTCAACTCCGAAAACCTCACAATTCTATAATTATTCACCCAATTGATCCACGGAAATTCCTTAATCTGTTCAGTACTCAAATCAAACCCAAACATAGGATATTCCACTCCAGCAGACACGTAAACAGTACCATCAATCAAAGCTACATCTTCAAGGTCATTTGACTCAATTCGCTTGTTTAACTTATTAATTCTTGTCCAAATACCAGCCTTAAGAGAAAAGACATAAAATCTTTCATACCTACCAAAAGAAAACGCACCAAAAAGTTTATAATCATCTGTTGATGATTCATAATAGAACACACACCCAGATCGTGAACCCGCTTCTGCACCTTTAGGAATCCTGATTTTCTGATAGCGGCGAGTAGCCGGGTTACCTATGAAGTAGGCCTCACTGTTGCGTTGTTGTACGAGCAAACACACAAGGCCATTACAAGAGCCCACAATATAGAAGGATTTGACTGGAGTATCACACCCATCTTCAAATTCCAATTCCACGAAAGGTTTAAGCTCGTAATTGTCGTTGTTATCATAATCTAGCAAGTAAAACTCTCTTTGTGTTTCATCATCTTCCGATTCACAATCAAGCCCAGCAAGTAAGATAAATTTAGGGGGTGAAGAGGAGAGTTGGAGGTGGGATTTGGCGAATTCAAGGGAGGAAATGGTGGAAAGCCATGATTTGGAAACGGATTTGAAGCGGAGTAAGGATTTTACTGGGAGTTTTGGAAGGATTTTTTCGAAAATGAGATGGTTTGGAAGAGTATTGTTCATTTTGAATGTATTCAAGGAAGCGATGATTTCAAAGAGGAACAGAGGTTTATAAGGGAGAAGACAGAAGAGGTAATTAAGTAGTGTAGTGTAATTAATTGTTGTCGTGGATTAAAGGCTACACCGTGGGAAGGCGTGGACGCGTGGTGTTCACTGTAAACGACATAAAGTAGTCTAGTTCCCTAGTAGGGGTCTAAAAGGATAAATACTGTTTTTCTTTTGGGGTTTTCAAGAGGGTTTTTGGTTTGTACGTCTCAAGTAAAATTCATTCTCCTATGAAAACTTAGTTTGTTTTAACAGAAGGGTAATGTTAGCGACATTCTTATTTAGGACATGTTTTTATTGACTGAACTCACCTGAACTGAATAGAACATTTTATATGAAAAGGAAATTAGGATCCAAACTGGGCTGAACTGAACTGATCTGAACTGAATTTCAATGTAAGAGAACAGGTCGTTATTATTTCAAACTTCAACTCATACATTGTTATATTATGTGTGTCCAATTTAATTGTGTCGATTATTATGAAACAAAGGGAGTATATCAATATTAAGGAGACGTTTATTTTAAAAAAATGGAAATAAAGTGAAAAGGAAATAAACAAATAAGAGGGGAAAATGAATTATTTAGTTGTTACCTTTCATTTATTTGGTTTAACCATTGAAAGGGATTTGTTAAGAACAGGGTAAGGGTCCCTAAAAAAAAAAAAAGAGGGTAAGGGTAATTGTTATCCCAAGTTTTTGAGAGGTAACAAATGAGGGATAACCACCATTATCCTTAGGTAATAGTAATGGTTATCATGCCTTCAAACTAAACACACGGTAATAGTATCAGTTTAATCGAATCTGTTTCCAATCTAAAAAGTACATTAACCACACGATGGTTGCTTTTGGTCAAGGAATTAGGATTGGTTTTAAACTCAATCATAAATAATGTATCGACAAAGTAGAGTTATTCGGACATGGTTTTAATTTCTCGGACATGGTTTTAATTTCTATCATATAGTCATAAACAATGTGTGGACAAAGTAGAGTTACCCGGCCGTAAATGAGCTCATGGAATACAGTTAAGATTGTTTAGCATAGCAGACTAGATACTATATGAGAGGCAACTGAAACTTATCCACAAGAAAACATCAATATGGAGGGTAAATTACTATGTTCTAGACGATCTGGCAATCCTAACATACCTACAATTTGGTATGTTAATTACATGGTAGCTTTATAATTACACTCAGGGGGTGTTTGGTATGGGTTTTTGATAGAGTTGGAAACGGAATCTGTTATCGTTTCCTTTACATTGTGTTTGTTTAATGGGTAAAGAAACAAAAACCGTTTCTTGGCTCTAACCCTTTCCATCATTTTGTTTCCAGAGGAAAGCAAAGGGAAACAAATATCTTTCCTTACTGTAACAAAAGAAAACAAAGTTTTCTCTCTCCTCTCTCCTCTCATCCAACCCTTCTCCTGAGAATTCCCAACCTCCTTCGACATTTTTTCTGAAAATTTTCCTATGAAAATTGCAATTCTCCTGATTTCGCTGCAAAATTTTCAATTTTCTACCTAAAATCTACAGAAATCTACAATCTCAAGTACGGCAAATTCTTTAATTTCGCTTATTCAATTACTAGGGTTTATATGATATCAATTTCGCTTTCTAATTTGAATTCCTTATTTGCTTGTTCGATTGAAGTTTTCTCTTCTCTTTCGTTGATATTTTGCTGAATTTGATTGTATATATTACTATTATTGCATGTAATTGTTGGCTATTTTGTGGTTTCCCCAATTTGATGGTATATATTGCTATTATTGCTTGTAATTGTTGGTTATTATTGCCTGTAATTGCTTTGACATGAGTAGAATACAATCGCCATGACACGTGAAATCGAATAAATGCAAGTTTTGAACTTATGATACTTGGAACTTTGGAAGGGGTTTTGAAGCAGAACTTTCCTTGTCATCATAAACTGATTGCTGAGGAACTTAGGTAGTGGCCAATCTTGAATGGCTTTTATCGTCTTAGGTTGAAGGCAGTTAGTCTCTGAATACTACATGAAGGGTAATTTGTATTCATATTTTTATTTTCTCCATTATATTATTGATTTGCTGCCAAAATAATAATAATGATTTGGTTATTATAAATTTTGAGACATTGTAATTTGTTTAGATGATTCCAACAATCTTGAGCAATTGGGTTGATGTATATTGTATAATGTTCATGTGGATGTATTGGATGTGTTGTATTAGCTCTAATCCTTTGGTAGCTTATTCCCATCAAGTAGTTTGTCTCTAGACTGCCTTGAATCTGCTGCTCTTTTTTTTTTTTTTTCTTTTTTTTTTCTGAAGACTGTAATGCAAAACTGAATGCTATTGAAGGCCAATCTATAGTTTTGTTGCTAGACAGTTCATATGAGCAGAGAGCTTAGTCAGAATCTGATTTCCAACTCTGAATAAGGAGTTTATTATTTTGATGTTATTTGTGATACTAGTGTATATTGATACTATTGTATATTTTTTGGACTAGTTTTTCAAGATTTCTACAATGCCCCGACTTATGCGTTCCACAAGGAAGAAAAAGCTAAAACAAATACAACTAGTTATTTCAATGATTATTATTATTTTGATGATGTATTGGATGTGGCATATGATGTGTGTTGTTACAATAAAGGGTGTTCAATTGAAAGAAAGAAAAAGAAACAAAAAGTTGCTACGAATGTTAGTTTTGAGAGGGCTTTATAAAGAGAGTGATGTGAAATGCAAGAGTGAGCTTCGCGTTAATAGAAGAACTTTCAATATTATTTGTGAGATGCTTAGAGACATTGGGGGTTTGAGTGGAACAAAAAATATGTCACTTCAAGAGATCGTAGCCATGTTTTTATACACGTTGGCTCACCATAAGAAGAATAGGTCTATTGGACAATATTTCTTTAGAAGTGGAGAAACCGTGAGCCGACAATTTTACCTTTGTCTAAGGGCTCTTCTCAAATTACATGAAGTATTACTTTACAATCCCACACCAATATTGGATGATTGTGAAGATGAAAGGTGGAAATTTTTCAAGGTATTGGTCTTTTTTAAGCCCCTAAATTTTGCTAGGATTTTCTTATTTTTGATTGTATATAAGTAATATTTTTTCTTATTTTTGTAGAATTGTTTAGGGGCATTAGATGGGACTTACATTAATGTAAATGTTCCTTCACAAGAACGACCAAAGTATAGAACAAGAAAAGGAACAATTGCTATGAATGTATTGGGTGTTTGTGCACCCAATTTGCAATTTATTTATGTTCTTCCTGGTTGGGAGGGTTCGGCCCATGATATGCGTGTACTTCGCAATGCTCTCTCTAGACCAAACGGTTTTAGGGTAACTCGAGGTAAGTGAAGCTCATTCTTTTGTGAATGTATAAGTTTTGTTAGTTTTGGTAGGTAGTAATCCTTTCCTTTAATAACTTTGAAGGTAATTATTATTTGGTTGATGCGGGATATACGAATTGTGAGGGTTTTCTTGCTCCATATAGAGGTCAAAGATACCATTTAAAAGAATGGACGGATCGACAACCCGAAAGTGCCGAGGAGTTCTATAACATGAAACATGCTAGGGCGCGAAATGTGATTGAGAGATGTTTTGGCCTACTTAAAGGAAGATGGAGTATTCTTAGAAGCCCTTCATTTTTCCCTATAAGAACTCATGGACGTATCGTGATGGCTTGTTGCTTATTGCATAATCTACTTAGAAAATTCATGCCTACCGATGATATAAACGAAGATGAATTGAATGAATCCGATGATGATTCCGAAAGTGATTCCGATGATGAAAGGGAATTTATTACAAGTGTTGCTACTTCAGATCATTGGACCAATTTTAGAAACAAATTAGCCCAAGATATGTTTAATGATTGGAGGGCGAGAGGTAGACATGGTCAATAGCAAAAAATGTATGATTTTTTTTACCTTCGATTATATTATATATATAGATGCATTTTTTTTTTGTTTTTGTGCATTTTGAAGCCACTGCCAATTTGAATCTGCCTTTTTGTTCTGTTCATTTCTAATCTGCCTTATGTTCTGTTTATTTCTAATTTGTCTTCTATTATTTCTAATCTGCGTTATGTTATTTCTAATTTGCTTAGGATGGAGGCTAGCAATCGAGGAAGAGGTAAAAATAAAAGGTATTGGACGTATGAAGAAGATGCGGTTCTAATAAGATATTTGCATGAGTTGAGTTGCGATCCGAAGTGGAAGTGTGAGAATGAGTTTAATAATGGTTACATGAATAAGTTGGAAGAGATGATCAATGGTGTACTTCCTAATTGTGGCTTGAGAGCGGTTCCCCACATTGAGTCGAGGATCAAGCATTGGTCGGAGAAATATAGTGCATTTGCAGAAATGTTATCTACCTCAGGATTTGGATGGGATGCTGAAAAGAAATTGTTGCAAGTAGACAAGGTCGTGTACGATGAATGGGTGAAGGTATGAACTGCTATTTCATTCCTCTTTGTTCATTTTTTTCAATTACACTTTAGAACTGCTGCTGGACAGTTCATATGACCTGAGAGAATTGCTGCTCATAGTGAATATGAGAGAAGTAGGGAGAGAAGCAGTGTGTGTAAGGGAAGGGGGCAGGGAGGGGAATAGGTGATAGGGGAGGGGATAACTGGTAGTTCAGGTTCTCGAAGTCCATCTTCACTGATTTGAGTTTTTGAGTTACCTTGAACATAGCAGTCCCTTGTCTAGTTTGCACCCATGAATCCTCCACAACTTTACTGAAACTAGCATATTCAGCCCAAACATTGAAGAAGTTGATTTATTAATTTACTGTTTTAAGTTGATTTTATGATTTTGCAATTCTGAGTTGTTTGAAACAGATTGGTTCACAATGTGATTAACAACTTTGTCAAAGTTTGGTTGGGATTTATTCATTGTAGATGGAGTAATTGTATCTTGTTGATGATCACTTGACGGTGTGATTCTATTACTTTTTTTTTATAAGCTGTATTTATTTTAAAATTATTAAGCTGTCTTTGTTTTTGAATTTTTAGTTTTTGCAGCGATATGGGAATATGTAGGATAAGCAGAAAGTTTATATCTCAGAATCTAGTATGTACTGCTGCTGAAGCACTCTGCTACAGTATGTGTGGTTATAGTTGCTTGGTTCAATTCTGATTTTCATGTTTTGACTTGTTGCATTCTCTTATATGGCAGACTCATAAGAAAGCTAAAGGGTTGTTTAGAGTTCCATTCATTCACTATGAAACTCTTGCGGAGATATACGCAAAAGACAAAGCTACCGGAGATGCAAGTGAGTCGTTTGTTGATGCTATAGAAGAAATGGATCAAGAGATTGATAAGCAACCATTCAATGTCCAGAGTGATGAAGAAGATGATGTGAATTCTACTCATTCGGACACTTATTCTTCTACAAGTCAATCCGGAAAACGCCCCATGAAGATAGAGGATGATCATATAACTCCTTCAAAAATGGCAAAAGTGAAGGCTTCTACAATTCATTCTTCCGCAAGTGATTCTACTACTCAATCCGGAAAACCCTCTATAAAGGCAAAGGAGACTAAGGTGAAAGGAAAGAACAAGGTAAATTTGAAGAGTTTGTGTAGGAATGATGATGATGATTTGGTGGCCTCCCTCCGTGATTGTTCCAACAATTTTGGGAAGATATTTGAAAATATCAATGTTAATCTCGGGACTATGGCTAGTGCATGGTCTAAAGCGGAAGAAAGGGAGCAAAGGATGGATGAAAAGGTGAACAAGGTATTGGACGAGGTGATGAAGTTAGATGGCATTTCTCCATCCGAAGCTTTAGAGGTTGCTACTATTCTCATGGCGGAAGAACATAAGCTTCGCATCTTCTATCAAGCACCATTAAATATGAAAAAACAATATGCAATTGATCTTCTTAAGAAGTAACAACTTGAGCAATGTCTTTGTTTTTTTGTTAAACATATGCAACTTGAGCAATATAGGTTATGTCTTAGGATTATTCATATGATGATTGACATATTATTAGTCAATGTTTGGATAATTAATGAGTGCCAACTTTGCTTTATATATTTATATGCAATACAAGTTATTTATTTATTTTTATCTTTTTTTTTACCGTAAAATATGTAGCATAGACAATATTGTATTATTCTTTCTTATTTTTCATTTCCGTTTGTTATACCAAACAAGAGGAAATGGAATGGTGATAACTGTTTCCGTTTCCTTTGATGTACCAAACAACTAGTAAGGGTAACACTATTTGTTACCCTTTCCCCTCCTAATTTATTTCCATTCCGTTTCCTATACTAACTCCATACCAAACACCCCCTCAGAGTAGCAGCCAAAGGTGTAGAACATTTAGGTAGAACATAAGCAACCAAAGAGAGCATTCCCCCACAATATTCCTAACAGTTTAGCTTTAGCATATTGCAAAAAGAAATGAAATCCCGGGCCAAATGCAGATGAACAGCAAGCATAAAAGTTTAATACACATGGTTATACAATACAGGTACTAGTTTGTGATAGAAAATTACACTCAAAAGGCCAACGTTGACAGGAACCTAGTACATTCTACTTATATGTTAAACAAGCTAATCTATACCTAAGATACCACTTAAAACACAAAAGCTAAGATTCTTTACTCTGCCCATTCTCTTCATTCTCATCATCCTTAAATTGAACTCAAAGGCACGAAGAAACCATGTCAGACAGGATGTTTAGCATGAAAGGCAAACTTATCAAATTCTTCGTAGCTGCAAGGCCCAAAGAAACCATATCAGACAGGCTGTTTAGCAAGAAAGGCAATCTTTTCAACTCCTTGTAGCTGCTAGTTAACTAGTATACTATGTTGTAAGCTAAGTTGACGGATTCTGTAAAACTATTAATACATGCAAGTTTTCACAACAACAAATTTCAACTTTCCATATTGCTGCTTACATATTATAAGTATAACCCCTGTATCATTAATCTTAGGCAGGAGAAAACTAAAGTTTTTTTTCCCCAAAAAAAGATAGTCTGCATGTATCATACATGATGAAAGCTAACTAGTACTCTGATCATAAACAAGAAAGCACTAACTGATCTCATCCCTCCAATAAGTTTTGGTAAATGATGTAGTAATTTAAAACTAGTGAAGATTCACCACCTCACTTGACACTTGGCACACAGCTAAAGAATCAAGAGTTAAGGACACATCAGGATTGGCCTATATATAACCAAGCTAAAGCACCTAAACAACTTGTCTAAAAGTACTTCAATTTATAACCCTTATGCAATGTCCAATTCACCAAGCATTGGTAAAGGCTACACATACAATTGTTGTATGTGACTCCTGCATACAACCTTAATGTGTCATGTTTTATTGGCTAGAATAATGTGCCCAAGTTCCATTAAAATTCCATTTATATTTGACTCCTAATTTTCTCTCCTCTTTTATTGATGTGTCAAATTTCTAGTGGTGTTGTATGTAGGGACAACATACCATAGTTGTATGTGTATCAAGTAGAAAACAACAGTATAAGGAAAAGAGAAGTTGGAAATCTGCAGGTTTCAAACAACCAGCAGGCAATCTATAGTGTGAATACTGGCCACCTAACGGAAAATTTCTTAAACGTGTGGAATGCCACGATTGCCACCTTAGAGCTACTTTACTTCAGTCATTATGGATGTTCCATATCACCTAAAACTATAATTCCTTGTAGGTTGCCATCCGAAAATTTCCCATAAAGAACAATAATTTTCAGAAGTTATAGTTTTGATGTTAAAATCCTCTCAAGTCCTGTTGAAGCAGGATGATACCATAAAAGAATTGGTGCCAGGGTTACCAGAAAATAGTGGCATTTGAACTTGGAACATGGCTTACCCACAGAGAACTTAATTTGTGGTTAACTCTATACGGCAAGCTTTCTACAAAGTACATATGACAGGGGGATTTGAGATTGTGGATCACTTGTTTTTTCATGTTGATTTTCAAAAAGGATTTAAAACAAAATGCTTGCAGAATGAGGGAAAGCCTAGTCTCTAGAATGAAAAAATGAGAAAAATGGAAGAGAATACTCCATTTTTCAACCAAGCTAAACATGGGAAGTTTCAAGCTGGTTTTTTTTTTTTTTTCTTTTTTTTCTTGCATAAGATGTCTGATAGTATAACTGGTATAATAGTAACCCTCTAATTATCCTATTGGAGCTGGACGATATCAAACATCTAGAACAGTCAAAGTAAATGCTCATATGATGAACAGATGGAAGATTGAACTAACAATTACAGAGCTTGACACAAAATCCTCTGCTCAAGATAGCACATTACTCCTAGAATAATGTTGCCAAAGAAAAGGGAGGTGACTAATTATTGACAAGAGCACACCACATAAAACATCTTATTGGAGATTGCATAACTACGGAGTATTGTTTTGTCATTACCGGTCAAGCTGTTGCCTATTATGCACCTCAGATCAAAATAAAAGAATAAATCATAAGTTCACTACTAATTTCACTAACCCTATCATAACACAAACGAAGATATATTCCAAAAAACCAACCATCATCAAGCAAAGGAAGTTCATACATAAGCAACTACACATAATATAAAAGGCCAACGGAAATAGCAACATTATAATAGGACTAATATTAATTACCAAAATGAGTGTATTCCCTTCTCTCCATTACCTTCATTAATCCTGGCTTTAGAAAGGCTAAACTAGGCTTTCAATATAGCTTTTTGATTGAACAACCCTGTCACCATTATCGAAAGCAATACCCCCTTGAGACATCTCTGGAGTCTCCCGAATCGGATCGAATACCCTAATTTTCCCCTCAGTGTGTAGCAAACACTTGCCAGTCTCAGAGAAACCATAGTACTCCACATTAGTATGATTGACAGTAAACAATTTCTCCAAAGAAGTAACATCACTGGGATCCTTCAACATCCAAACATCATCTACTTCAAAATAAGTACAAAGCAACAACAAGCACCCTCCCAACTTGGACAAACGCACACTACCATAGTCGTCCAGCCAATTCATCCGCGGCAATTCCTTAAGCTGTTCTGTACTCAAATCAAACCCAAATATAGGATTCCGCGATTCAACCAAAATGTAAACACTTTCATTAATCAACACAACCTCCTCAAGCTCTTCCCATTTCACAACTCACAAGATTATCTAAAACACAAATCCGACTCCAAATTCCAGCACTCAAAGAAAACACATAAAATTGAACAGAGCCACCATCATAAGGCGAAAACCCACCAAATATTTTATAGTCATCGTTTGATAATTCGTAGTAAAACACAAAACCGTAGAACGAACTTACATATACAACCTCAGGAATCATGATCTTCCGATAACGGCGAGTAGCCGGGTTGCCGATAATGAACGCCTCCTCACCGGACCGTTGTTGTACATGCAAACACACAAGGCCATTACAAGAACCCACAAGATTGAAGAATTTAACTGGAGTATCAAACACATCTTCAAATTCCAATTCAACGAAATGCTTAAGCTCGTAATTGTTGTTGTTTTCGTCATGATTTAGCAAGTAGAATTCTTCTCCTGATACTCGATTTTGGCCAGCAAGTAAGATTAATTTAGGGGGTGAAGAGAAGAATTGGAGGTGGGATTTGGTGAATTCAGGGGAGGAAATAGTGGAAAGCCATTATTTGGAAACAGATTTGAAGCGAAGTAAGGATTTAACTGGGAGTTTTGGGAGGATTTTTTCGAAAATTAGATGGTTTGGAAGAGTATTGTTCAGTTTCCAGTGGTGTCACCAGGATTTTCGAAGTGTGGGTTCGAAACTTCCGAAATTTGAAATCATAATTAACAAAGGAATAAAAATACAATAATTAAATATTCAGTACATAAATATGTTCAAACTATGGATTACAAATAGATTACACATAGAAAAATGAAAAAAAAAAACTACAGAAGCATTCTTCGAGTCTTCATACTTTGGAAGTGTTCCAATACATCATCATCACTAACTCTTGAAAATAAATCTCTTTCAAGAAAAGTGACTAAATTATCATTCAATAGTTGATCACCCATACTATTTCGCAACTTATTTTTTTACGTATGTCATTGAGGAAAACACTCGTTCCACGCTTGCAGTTGCAACCGGAAGGATCAATGCAGCTTCCTTAGAATAAGTGCAAAGAAATTCAGCAACTGATGTCTTTGGGTTGATAAACATACTATATTTTCTCATTAGCCTGATTATGGAAACTACCAATACCACCCACATGAACATCAAATCTACCAGTCTTATTCCATCCTCTAAATCCCCCTTTAATAAAGGAATCATTAACAGCCAAAGAATAATCAACTTTATCAGTGAACAAATAGCACATAAAACAAAAAGCCGCATCTTTCTCAACACTATATTCAAGCCACTCATATTTATCAAACCAAGTAACATTAAAACGGCGCATACCTCCAACTTTTCTTTGAGGAAAATTATGTGTGCGTGGATCACAACGTTTCTTTGTAATATAGCCTCTCCTTACGGCATCTCGATCATTAGGAGGATACTCCATAATTGGAATTCTTTTTCCAGGGTCATGTGGAAGAAGATCAACATCATAAATGCGAGTATCATCGGAGTCAACAGTAGTATTTGGAACACTTGGACCTGTGTTCTCAGGTGGTGGAATTGTTGCAGCAATAGGAACCTCATCATCATTAGGAGACACATGTTCTTCTATTGGAGGATCCCTTGAACTAGGTGAAGAACAAGTTGAAGACTTTTGTGACTTCCCGGCACGTTTCCAAAATGACTCTAAACTCATGGTATAATAGGTATATTCTGCTAGTCTGCTACACACACATGATAAATGCAGAATGAAATCAATGAATGAATGATAAATCTAGAAAGCTAATTAAAACTATCGTAATTAAAGATTACAGTCAATTACTCAATTAGTAAACGAAATCTAGACGGCAGAAAACGAAATAGCATATGAAATTATGAAAACTAGAAGGCGGAAAACGAAATACAGAAAATAGCATATGAA